GTATTTGTTTTTTTCAGTCTGTTTTGTCGATTTAAACGCTAGTTTACTGAAGATGGAGAAAATGACAGTGTGCGTTGTAAAGCAGTGAAAAATTGTACATTTTTATAAAGCGATAAGGCGTAATTTTTAAAAAGCATGCATCATTCTGGTGATGTTGACTTCCATTGTGGCAACGTCAAAAACCCTATGGGAAAGTTTGGGTGATTTTTTCCCGAGTATTATCGTCTTACATTGTTCATACACTTTTGAATAGAAATCTCGTAGACGATTACTGGTTTGTATAATGACCGTTTTCACGCCGAGAAATCTACATCTTCTTCAAAGTTTTCGAAGTCTTTCAAGCTTTTTGAGGCTTACCATATCTGCGTTTATTTGTGGCCCTTTGGACCGCAGGCGCATAAAAGGTCGTAAGAAAAAACCGACGCTGGTGTTATTTTGTCTGCTGCCTTGCAGATGAGGGTTAGGCCTTCCCGCTCCATCCCCTCGCCGAGTAATGGGCTGCGTCTGTAGTTGGGGCGCCTTCGCGCTTTGAAAAGGTGCAATTTCGCGTATAGTCCTCACCTGCGAAATCAAATCTACGTTTTGGATGCAGTCTTATTGCTGGAACTATCGCCTCCCTCTTAATGGGAAATCTTGTCTACATCTTTCATTAATTTGCATATTAACTTCGTGCAAAGTACCGTTCTGATCCCTATCCGTCATTTGTGCTTTAGCTGTACGAAGGAGAGGATCGACCAATCGTCAGGGCGGGAGAGTGGAATATCTGGTACCAGGATGATATGGAGATTATCGTAAGTTGGCAAAGTCGGCGTGAACCTTTTGTTTTGTTACATTTGGACCCTATTCAACAGTCAACGTTGCAGCGGTTGTTTATTATACAAAAGTTGTAAGTTAAAAAGTTTTAAAAAATTCAAATCTTGTAACTTTTGCATGGAAAATCTCTCGTATCAACTTCAAAATATGCATCTAAGTCACTTATTTTTCATATTTAAACTCTAAAGTTTATATTTCGGTTTTAAAAATGTTTTTCATTTTGACCGTTCATTCAAATAGCATCACGGACATGGTCCACATCCATTGCCGGTTATTATAAACACTATGTTGTATTTTCTTAATGGCATAGGAAAATGTACCATTTTCCTTACACTGAAAACAGCTTAGGTCTATGTGGCAACCCGACTGACGTACTCATTTTCAATCGGGAACGCATTTCGGTTTTTTGGTCACTGGTACAAAAACTAGCAGTTATGTAGATTACTCATGCGGTTGAGATCCTGTAATCGATCAGAATCCACTCCGTACCATTCATTTTAGGTGGTATATCTGTACGTTCGGTTGTTTCCAGCTCTTCTTTCTGAATTATTCTCGATCGGGTATTTCTCGATGAATGAATTGTTCTAGTCTCGGAGAAATCGTTTTCGAAATGAGCACTCCCTATTTCAGTTATTCACATTTGTCTTCTGGTGGCGTTCGAGTACTAATTGAAGTGGATCCGTTCGGGTTTGTACTTAAGAGATACCGGCTTTCATTGCTTTTGCTCCGTATCTACGAACTATTTCCATATTAGTTATGCACGGGTATGTGACGTATGTGATATGACCTAACTTTCAAACTTAGCCTTTTTCCTACCTGAAGGGGAAATCATCTACACCAAAGCTCTCGTGAGAGGATTTCGTATGCAGCGGGAATACCTGCGTCCAGCTTTTCATTTCGACTATCGGTATTTATGTCACGTGCATAGTTAAGGGAACTGGTCTCTTTTTCTTATCAAATATTTCAGAAAATTGCGCTAATTTACCGTTAGTAAAATAGTATTTGCATGCTGCGTTCACTTCTTCTAAATATGGCGTTTGCCGGGTTGTATCTCGGACGCTGCAGTCAACCAGATAAAATAGCAAAATGTCTGCACCCGCCACTTTTCGACCACTTAATTCACACTTTTTCATCAAAATCGACGCACATGTCTGAATACTTTTGTTTTGAACCCCTATAGCACAAACTTTGGAAGCCTCCCCCGGCTGATGTGTTGGTAGCGGACATGTGGCTTGGTTTCTTCCGTTATTACCTGTTTGATTTCGATCGAGAACGGTATGTCGTGACAATTAATCAGAAGGCTCTACTCGAACGCATCGCCAAACTTTGGAATTCGTTGCTTGCAATTGAAGGTGAGTCGTCAGGCAAAGTATGCATGTTGATTGCATCACGTCTTTGGTTTCTTAACCACGTTTCTCCGTTTTAGATCCCTTTAACTTGCG